TATCTGAGACCCGTATACCGTTTCGTTTACTTTTCAAGACCCCGTTTAATCGTTTATTTTAAAATTTTTTAAAAACAATTCATAATTCAAAAAAATCAATGAAAAATCATAATTACGATTATTCCTCTTTATAAAAATTATAATTTAACTATAAATTCATCATATCGATGGATTTAGAGGGATGAATTCTGGTTATTGGCCTCCGAATTTTTCACAATTTTCGCCTGCGGCGCAAAAAATGAAAGAAATCTGACTTAAGGATTCATCATATCGATGGATTTAGAAAAAAATTTTCATGATTTTCTCTCAAAATTTTTCAAAAAAATCTCAAAATTTTCACCTCCGGCTCAGAAAGAGATTTGATAGAAGAATAGAGGTTAGGGGCGTGTAAACCGACCAATCCTTGGAAGAAATATTGCTCCTTGGACATAAAAATGCTCAAAATTTTCACCTGCGACGCAGGAAATGGATCAAATAGGAGGATTTTTGGCTTCAAAGCATCCAATATTAAAAAATTATCGCATACGACGCTTTAAATTTAAAACTATATGTCCTGGACTCCAAAAAATCATGAAAATTTTAGATTTTTTGCTTTTTTCTCAAGTAGGAGTAAGTACGAGGTACGAGTACGAGGCTAAAAAAAGAGGGGTACGAGCGACGAGTACGAGCAAAATCGAAATTTCGAAGCACTGTCAGGAATTTTTTAGATTTAATACTTAAAAACAAACTTAAACCCATACTGTCTTTAATTAATTTTCCATAATACTTATTTCAGTCCCTCGCTGGAGTTAGTAATTTTTTCTGAGAGGGATATACAAATTAGAGGCCATCATAATAGAAAAATGGCTTTCCTTTGCTTACTAAACACATCCGCTTAAAGTTGTATTTGTTTTGCCTAAATAAATAAACAATTTTTAAAATAAAAAGGGCATATGCACTTTAGGATTTCTTAATTTATCAGGAGTTAAATAATTAATATCCTGTCTATGTACTATGTATATAATTTATTATCCTTATAACTATTAAATAAAAAATAATATTACATCAAGTCGTGAAATATAAAAAAGAATTTATCCTTTTTTAAAATTCTTACCCTTTTTGCCATTTATTATCCGAATTAATCAGAAAAGAAAATTATTTTTTAATTTTCCAAAATTAATCTAGGATGAAACTTATTATTTTATTGAGTAGGTTCATAGTTAGTGTCGCTTTCTCAGTTAAATTTTTAGCGGTGTTATTTTACATTTATTCTTTTTTCTTATTAACTAACATAAAGATCTGAATCTACTCTTCATTTTAATACCTCGTTCAGCTATATATTGGTGATATTGTAAAGTTATGATTTTTTAGACTTCACTACCTCGAAGAGAAATTCACAAGCATTTTCACCATGAATTTTAATTTACCAAAAATGGAAATTTAAATTTAAAACTTTCAATTTTTACTTAATATAAAATTAATTATTTAATAATCTTTTAGTGATTGATTTAGAATGAAACTTGATAATGTTTTATTCTTTTTAATTTTCAATTCGATATTATGGAGTTTAATTAATTCTGTTAAAAATAATAAAAATCAAAATGAGTTAACTAGAGTTGAGGATGATGGAATTGGATCATCAACCAATCCTCTAATTCAAAAATATGACTCATCTTTGAAACCAAAATCCAAAATTGCAAAAACTGAGAGGAATAATGAAACAGAACAAAAGTTGAAGAAGAAAGAATATAACAGAAATTACTATAAAATTAATAGAGAAAAAATACGTGAACAGAGGCAGAATGTTTATAAAAATAGAAAAGAAATTCTGATTGAAAAATCTAAGGAATATTATGAGAAGAATAAAGAGAAAATAAGAGAAAAAAGGAAAAATTATTATGAAAATAATAAAGATAAAAGTCTAAAATATGACGAAAAAAAGCGAGAATATTTGCGAAATTACTATCTAAGGAAGAAAAATGAAAAAGAAATTTTACAAAAAAATTCTTCGATTCATGATAGTAAAGAAGGAAATTCTGCTGATAATGCACAGATTAATATTTGTGAAAATAAGGGAAAAGAGCCGATACTTTCTAAAAAGGATGAGCGATTAGATCAACAAAACATCAATCAAATGAATATTGGACATAATATTCAACGAGAGGATGATTTGAATGATTTGGAAGATTTGAATTATTTCGAAGATTTGAAATTCTTTGATGAGTTAGATTTTTAATGAAGATTGAAGTAAATACAAATTGAAGTAAATACTATGATTATGCTGATATCTATTTAACACTATCTTAACATTTTAGTCAAACACATCTTTTCTCTCTTTTTTCACAATCATTCCTTAGTTAAACATCGATGTTGTGCTTATCCTGCGCTTATCAGATTTTGAAAAGTGCATTATGAAAGGCAAACATGAGATAAGATAGGGGTGGGTATAATAAGTTTCCAGATTTTTTAAAAAATTTTAAAGCGCAGAAAAACCTAATTTTATCACAATAATGAAATTCATACTCGAAGAAATGAATTTTATTTATTAACGCCTCAGTCAGAAAATTTCTGTTTACTAATGTGTCTGAAATTTTTATAATTGAATATATTGTAGGATGCCTTCGGCTTCCATTATAAAGATAAAATTATCCTTTAATTTTTATTTAAAACAAGTAAAGACTAAAATAATTTAATAAAGAATTAAAGAAATATTTTTTTGTTAACAATATATAATAGCTTCTTATAATAGATTGCTATTTTAAAAATCCATTTATCTTTAAAAATTCGGATCGTCCCAAAAATTTGAATCTTCCAAAAGACTCAAATTAGGCAAATTTTCCAGATCTTCTCTTTGAATAGAATTATTTTCGATTTGAGATTTTTCTTGTTTAGAAATGTCATAAATTGTGTCATCTAAATTATTTGTATTATCATTAGTCTGTAAATTAACAAATGAAATTCCTTCCTTATTATTAGTAGATTGGGAAGGAGTATCATTTTGTGGGTGAATATTCCCTTGATCTAACTGAACATTCTCTTTGGAAACAATCGGCTCTTTTCCCTTATTTTTACTTTTATTATTCTTTGGATTACTAAACGTTGTTCCTTCATTATTGACAGATTGAATGCATGTTATTTGTGGAATTTCACTCTTCAGAATCTCTTTTTCTTTATTCTTTCTTAGTCGGCATATTCTTTTATATTCACGATCATATTCTCTCAGCTTTTCTTTATTCTTTTTATTATAATCAAATTTATTTTGAATAAGTCTATTTTTATTCTTCTGGAAATATTCTTTTTGATATTCTTTCCTATCTGGCCTTTCTCTTTTTTTACTATTTGAAGCTTTTTCACCTTTTGTAATTTTTGGTTTTAACGTTTCTTCCGATGGTTCAGCCCCATCATTCAATCTTTGATCTAGATCCTTTGAGAGTAGGGTTGTCGGTTCTGGACCGAACCGAACCGAACCGAACCGAAGAACCGATGATTTTTCGGTTCGGATATCGGTTCGGTTCCGGATATCCGAAAATCTTCGGTTCGGATATCGGTTCGGATCCGGATATCCGAAAATCTTCGGTTCGGATATCGGTTCGGTTCCGGATATCCGAAAATTTTCGGTTCGGATATCGGTTCGGTTCCGGATATCCGAAAATCTTCGGTTCGGATATCGGTTCGGATCCGGATATCCGAAAATCTTCGGTTCGGATATCGGTTCGGATCCGGATATCCGATAATTTCCAATTGAAAAAGGAAGAAATCTGTCTTATGGTCTCCTAAAATTCTCAAAATTTTCGCCTGCGGCGCTGAAAAAGGAAGAAATTTGTCCTTTGGTCTTCCAAAATTCTCAAAATTTTTGCCTGCGGCGAAGTATGTGGTATATCTGAGCATTTGCATAGATTAATGTGGACTTTGAGAAAATAGGGAGGAATTAAAGGAGAGATAATCAGAGGGCTTAAAGGGAATATTGAGGGATATGAGTGTGATATCGATGGATAGAGGTTTAAGTGGGACCCCTTGATCAAATCAGAACCCCTTTTATCACCCGATATCAAATCTCTTATATCCAACAAATTCTCTTATACCCACCACTAATCCTTAATAACACCTTAACCTCGAAAAAATTTTCGGTTCGGTCCCGGATATCCGAAAATTTTCGGTTCGGTTTCGGATATCCGAAATTTTCGGTTCGGTTCTTCGGTTCGGTTCCGGATATCCGAAATTTTCGGTTCGGTTCCTCGGTTCGGTTCCGGATATCCGAAATTTTCGGTTCGGTTCTTCGGTTCGGTTCCGGATATCCGAAGATTTTCCAAGAACCGACAACCCTATTTGAGAGTTCTTCATTTCTAGCTACCTCACTTTGATTTTTATTATTTTTAACAGAATTAATTAAACTCCATAATATTAAATTGGAGATTAAAAAGATTAAAACACTATCAGGTTTCATTCTAATATATTGCGTTACAGAGTTATAAAAGCCAGATACATAGAAAGATATAGTGCAGAATTATTCTTTAATTAATAACATGTATATAAGAACTCTAAAACAACCCTTTTATATTTTTAAATTAATACTTATTTAATGGCAAGTGCATACTTAACAAATATTTTTTGAACTAATTTATTAAAGCGATTAAAAACAATTTAAACAAAAGTGCATCTTTTTAAAAATAGTATTTTCATCAGGATCTGTCGGAAATGCAAAGGTCGGAAATGCAACACAATCGACCTTAGTAATCCTCAGTCTCGGTGTTTCAAAGAATCTCGACCTCACGCAACTCTACTTAGCGATCAAAACTCTGCTTACTCTTCATTTAATTTTAAGATATCCCTGCCTTGCAGTACAAAAGTCTAGGATTTTAAACAGCCGTAGTCACAGTCTTATTTTTACGATCGGATAACATTATCCTACAAAAGTATATTTTCAATTAGTCTGATATTCAATTATTCTGTGAACATTATTCTTATGTCCTAGGATGCGGTCTAACCTAGTGACAAACTTAATCACACAAGTATAGTATAAGATGTTTATCCGAATCGGAAATACAAGAATAGCGAAGGTGGTAGTTGACAAGATAACTAAGGACATGCGGTGACGGTCAGCCCAGGTGTCGGACAAGACTGATCGCCTCCATTTATATTATATTATACTAGACCCACACATATCTAACAATTACCACATTACGGGCAAGACATTTTAACAAATATTTCTTAAGATATTCTGCCCAAATTGCTTCATCAGCTTTTACAAACATGGAAATACGAATGGAAACACTAAAGAAAAATTTGGAGTTGAATTATCAACAAATAATAAACTAAAAAGTTATGAACATCAATTACGAACATTGCAACTACATGATGACGAGTATGATGAAGAAACCGATGAGGAAGATAAAAGGGAAGAGGGGAATGAATTAATTTTGGAAAATGGAGAAATTAGAAAAATTTCAAATGGAAAATTAAATTATTTAAATGAGATTTGCCCGCAGAGGAATACGTTGAGAAGACCTTTTGAGACTAGCCCGATACTGGAGGTTGATGATGAGAGAGAAAGCTTGCCTGTGAGTATTTTTGTTTAATCGCCTTTAAATTAACTCTCATTACAGGGAGTAGAATTTGTTGTCAGATTTTTAAATTATGAGGACACGTATCGTTTTTTATTGCATTGTTCGTTACCACAAAGGATTTCAAAAGATACCATCTCTGGTATCTTTTGAAACCTTTGGGTATAGCTGTAATCCACCTCAGTTTATAGCTTACAAATTTGAACTGGACTATGCTAATTATCCATATGATCTTCCGAATCTTTAAAATTTTCGGATTCTCAGATATTCACCTAAAGACCTAATAGAGTGACTCAACAAACATATTAAAGTAACTTTAGATGCAATACTAAATTTTCAGAGCCCAAAATCAGTGTCAGTCATTCACAGTCCTTCAACTTGGAGAGTTATAGCTTCCTCAAATGACTCTTTCTTTTCTCCTAATGGAAAAACTAATGGAACCAACATTGGGGCAAATATTGTCTGCTTCCGACCTTCAAATTGTAAAAGATGTACTGGTCGTGTTTATGAAGCAGAAAAGGTTGTGGCCGCAAGTGAAGTTTGGCATAAATGTTGTTTCCGTTGTTTGCGTTGTGGGCGGTCTTTGGAGCCCGGAAAATTTTCGGATAGAGCTGGAGAGATTTACTGCAATAGTATGGAATTCATGTTTTATTAGAGTCAGGAGGCTGGTATTCGCTATTTTAGGAACAATACAGTCAAGAATTTTTTTAAAATTCAAACATATTTCGATACTATACGGTTATCTCCCAACATTATATTTTTCTTCTTTATTAGCTATTCAAAGATACATATTAATTTGAAAGAATTAATTTGGATCTATGATGATAGATACCAATCTCTGCATGTTAAAACTTATTGTCTAGCATAGTGCCTGTATAATAGTGATGGTCGAGACTCTCGGTTCCAGAGTTGGAACTGACTCGGGAAGTCGGAACCGAGACCACTCTTCTTCTTTGAGCGTGGGAGAGAAAGGAGAAGATAATTAAAAGGGTGGGAGATAACCGAATTTTACCCTCATATTTTCAAATAAAGAAGAATATCATATAAAAATTTAGTATTTCAAAAAAATTAATAGACATAATTATTACAGGTTGCTATGCAAAAGAATTCGGACCTAAAGGTGTTGGATGTGGTCTAGGTGCTGGAATTTTACAAATGCATCAGTAATACAAAGAGAATAAATAAGCTAATTAATAAATATTTTTTATTTTATACCTCTGATATTGTTCCTCCAAAAAAATTTTTTGGAAATGAAATATGAATTATGTTTATGTACAGAATTCATTTTTAGTTTCAGGGCTGGAGATAGACCTTAAATTTTTAAAAATTTATATTCCTTTATTATTCATAGTCTGCCATTAATTATAAAAAATTATTTATATTTTTTTAAATTAATGACAGTCAAATTAAGAAATCACAAAGGGCATTAACTTATTCATTGAAATAAAAGTACATATTCAAAAATATGTTTTTGTATTTTGACTAAGCAAGTAAAATAAAAAAAAGTAATAATTTGTAAGAGAATATTAATATATATTCTGATTTCAGATTTTATTTCCTAAAGTTAAACTTCACTCGTAAATTTGGTCTTTGGAATTTTGTCACCGAAATGTAAGATTATATTTTGTAACTTGGATATTCACTTAATAAATTCATACGCCTTCAAGTTTAAATGTAATAATGGGCGTCAATATGTAACGATTGGAAGGTTTCAAAATTGAGGATAAAAGTGCTTTGTAGTTAAAAAAAATAAAAGTGCTTGTAGGATAAAAGTGCTTGTTTATTTACTTATATTTAAAAGAATATTTTATTTTCCCATATTTTAAACGATATAAAAAATTTTTAATAGTTGTCCTTTATGATTTCATAATTGTCTATCATTAGATAATAAATCGGTTAAAGCTTTAAAGTCATTTTTAAACAATAAAATAATATTAATTCAAATTAAAGAGGCCTTTTTTATTTTGTTTTTTCAATAAAAAATATTTTTAATTTATTTTAAAAATTAATTTAAGATGAAACTTATAAGTGTCTTAAATTTTTTAATTTTTAACGCGATATTATGGAGTTTAATTAATTCTGTTAAAAAATATAAATATTTAAACGAATTATCTGGAGTTGAAGAAACTTCAAAGGATTCAAATAAAATATTGACTAATGAGGCTGAATCTTCGGCTAATCCTCCAAATGAAAAATATAAAAATTTAGAACCAACGGGAGAAATAAAAAAAGAATTAAATAATGATAAAGAAGCTAAAAGATTAAAGATGAATGAATATAATAGAAATTCATATCAAAAAAATAGAAAAAGTATACTTGAAAAAAAGCGAAATTGGTATAAAATTAACAAAGAAAAGGTAATTGAAAAAAGTAAAAATTATTATAAGGTGAACAAAGAGGAGTTGAAAGAAAAATCTAAACATTATCAGGCAAATAACAAAGAAAAACTACGAAAACGAAACCAAAATTACTACAAAACTAAAAAAGAAAAAATTAAAGGAAATCAAACGAAGATACTAAAAAATGAGTCAAAATCAGAAAATGTCAATTCACTGAATAATGATAGCGAAAATAAAGGAAAAGAGCCGATTGTTGGCTGTACTTTAGCCGGTGGCCCACTCAGAAACGGGTCAAAATATATACCATTCGATTCGTCTCGGCGAGCTGAGTCGAATGGTACCATTCTTTTTTTGCGGAAATTCCTACGAGCCGAGATATAGGTACTTAAAAATCGAAAAACCATAGGGGGGACCAAGCACTTTTTTGGGGTAAAAATTCGAATACGCAAATAATAGCTCATTCGAAAGAGCTCGTTGAGCTGAGTCGATTGACACCAAAATCAACGAAATCCGACTTGATTTGACAAAGTTATGACCATTTGTTTTAGCTCCTTACCTATGACATCTGTGGAGATTTTTGCTGCTACAGAGGCCCCAAATACGTCCAGAGCAAGGGTGATAGGAATAGGGTTATGTTACAAGCCCAGACCCAGCGCCCGTAGACTCCCCGCGAGGCGCGTGCCCAAAACTCCGCGCGAAGCGCGGAGTTTTGCACAAGCGCCTCGCCGACGCCCCATAGGTTTATGTTGCTAGTTTTTTGTGTTGTAACTTTGTCTAAACTTGTTTAATCCCGGTGATTTTGGTGTCATTCGACTCAGCTTGTCGAGCTCTTTCAAATGAGCTATAATATGGTTAAAAAATTTTTAATTAAAAAATCTCCCTCTTGGATTAACAGTTTTCAGAAGTCTATATCTCGGTCCAATCAAGTCGGATTTCGTTGATTTTGGTGTCAATCGACTCAGCTCGACGAGCTCTTTCGAATGAGCTATTATTTGCATATTCGAATTTTTCACCCCAAAAAAGTGCTTGGTCCCCCCTATGGTTTTTCGATATTTAAGTACCTATATCTCGGCTCGTAGGAATTTCCGCAAAAAAAGAATGGTACCATTCGACTCAGCTCGCCGAGACGAATCGAATGGTATATATTTTGACCCGTTTCTGAGTGGGCCACCGGCTAAAGTATATCCCGATTGTTTACAAAGAGAATGATCTGCTAAACGAAGGGAATAACCAACAAGAAAGGGATATTCCAGCTAAAACTCCTCATAAAGGGGAAGGAACATCAGTAGTTAATCCACGGACAGATGATAAGTTAACCGAACCAGAAAATGATCTGGTAGAAGGAGGGAATATTCAACAAGTATCGGATATTCCAGCTCATACTCCTCATAAAGAGGAAGGAACATCAGTTGTTAATCCACGGATGGATGATAATTTAACCGAACCAATTGTTTGTCATTCTGAACAAGGAAAGGCTCAATTACCTATTCAACAAGCGAATGATATGAATGATGTAGAATATCTCAAATTTTTGAATTATCTAAATTTTTTGGATAATCAGAATTTCTTATTTTGAATATCTTTTAAAATTAAACAAAATTTTAAAAATTAAATTATTGCATTCTCCATTTATATGTATTTATTTAACATTCTTTTTTTATATTAAATTGTTTAATTAATAATGAAATATTATTTGAGTTAATCGTATATTTCAATTTCAAACAATATTTTTGTGTAAAATTAACTTTAATTAAAATAATGCCTTTATCAAATTATTATAAATTAAATTTTATTCATATTCACATCTTTATATTTATTCTTTAAGTAAATTTATGTATTTCTACAGGGTGACCCAAAAGTAATGGGACACATTATTTATGCTATAACTTTATTCAAATTTAAGATAATGAGATGTAATAAATGTTATATGATAGAGAATTAAATAAGGAACAAAAATAATCAGGAATTTTCGAAGTGCACACACCTTGCGTGGATGCAGAGATGATGGCGCATGGAAAAATTTTTGGCAAAAGATCGCACTGCATTGACAAAGGAGGGTGTTTGAGGTGTCCGTGCGACTTCGGGATGAAATTTGGTAGACAGATAGATCGTTTTTTCCTTACTTCTATTGAAAATTTAAGCATTTTCGCTGCGGTGTACCAGGGACCGAGTTATAAGCCACAAACGTTTTATGGTCCTCCACATATAAACAATTTCTATCTAGTTACTACTGTGTTCAGCGGTGGTGCAGTGGTAACGTTCTTGCACGTGATTTTTCCCCCAAGTTCGATTCCTGATTTGGGAAATTAATTTATCACATTCCCGATCGAATAACGGCCGAAGCAACCTCAAATTTTATGTATTGCATAAACTCACAATGCCTTTAATCACTTTAGTTATTTCCAGAGAGCAATAATTTTAATTTAAAAGGTCAATCGGGTTTTTAATAAAACAAACATAATTATTTCATAGCGGAGTAAAAGGGCATTCTTACCAAATATCGTGTCGAAATCTGTTTTGTCAGGCATTTATAAAAGTAGTAAAAACGTCTGAGAAAATGTCAGTAATGTCCTTTACTACGTAATGACCTTTACTACACTGTGAAATATATTTTTATTTTTTATTCCCTTCAATTTTTAATTAATATAAAATTAGTTATTTAATAATCTTTTAGTAATTAATTTAAAATGAAACTTGATAGTGTTCTAATCTTTTTAATTTTAAATTCGATATGTTGGAGTTTAATTAATTCTGTTAAAGACAATAAAAATCAAAACGAGTTAGCTAGAGTTGAGGAAACTTCAAAGGATTTAAATAAAATATTAAATGATGGGGCGGAATCATCGGTTGCTCATCAAATCGAAAAATATAGAGAAACTCTGAAACCAAATAACAAAATTACAATTAAGCACAAAACTGAAAATAAAGAAGAAGAAACTAGGTTAAAGAAAAGTGAATATATGAAGGATTACTACCAGCAACACAAAAAAGAGAAACAAGATTATAAACAAAATTATCTCAAAAATAATAAAGAAAAGACTCTACAATATAATAAAGATTACTATCAAAAGAATAGAGATAGAGTGGTTCAAAGTAGCCGAGAGTACAGACAAAATAATAAAGAAAAGCGTCGCGATTGTCAACGAAAATACTATCTAAAAAAGAAAAAGGAACGAGAAATCCTGCAAAAGGGTATGTCAAAAATTGGAAACATTCAACCTGATAATAATGAAGGAACTTCTTTTGTTAGTTCACAAAACGATGATTTTACTAGAAAGAATACTACGAGAAATAATGAAGACGAAAAAAAGTTAGCGAAAAAAGAATATAATAAAAATTATAATCAAAAGAATAAAGAAAAGAGAAAAGAATATGATAGAAAATATCATTTAAAAAGAAAAAATAAAAAAGAAAATTCACAGAATGATAATTATATCAATAAAGGCAAATCGCCAATTGAATGTAACGAGAATATTCAGGTAAGTAATAAGGAAGGAAATGATGATGTTACTCAACAAAGCGATGATTTAATTAGTAAGGACACTACGGTAAATAATGAAGACAAAATAAAGTTAGCAAAAAAGGAATATTATAAAAATTACTATCAAAAGAATAAGGAAAAGAAAAGAGAATATAAAAGAAAATATAATTTAAAAAGAAAAAATGAAAAAGAAAATCTACATAATGATAATTATATAAATAAAGGTAAATCAACAATTGAAAGTAACGAGAATGTTCAGCTAAATAATAAGGGAGGGCATGATAATACACAAGAAAATTCATTTGTTAATCCACAGATGAATGATTATGTACTAAATAATATACAAAACCCAACACAAGAGAATGGTGGAGAGGATAATGTTCAAACAGCAAATGCAAATTTTATTCGACAGATTGAAGACAATAATGATGTGTCTGATCTAAGTTTTTTGGATGACCCAGATTTTTTGAATAATCTATATTCTTGAAATTTCAAATAAGCAAAAGAATGATTTAAATTTTAAATAAACAGAAATCATCTTTGCTTTCTCTCCTATAAAAATTTAAGTCATCGAACTATATCTTATTTTTTCTACATATTCTCCTTTCTCTACATATTTTTTTAATTAATTGTTTTTATGTTTAACACTTTTCGATAAATTTTCGATCATGTTTAAAAACATAACGAAATAAATTTTCGATTATTAGAATAATATCAATTCTGCTTCCAGAAGCTCATTAATTGTGAACTGTAAATTAGATCCTTCGTTATTTGTTTGTCCTAACGAGATGTTTAAAGCAGCTGACAATTTGTAGTCGAGGCGAAATAATGTAGTCAAGAGCTAATTTTAAATGTAATAAAATTATTTAATAATCAGATTTGAAGTTTTAAATTAGATTGGACATTTAAGAGTCCATTAAACGATTTAAAGAAATAAAAATGATTTACATAAATAAAATAATTATTTGAAAATGTACAGAATATCAAAATAAGAAATTCTGATTATCCAAAAAATTTAAATAATTCAAAAAATTAAGATATTCTACATCATTCAATTCATTCGCTCGTTGAATAGGTAATTGTGCCTTTTCTTGTCCAGTAGGGCAAACAATTGTTTCTGTTAAATTATCATCTGTAATTGGATTAACAACTGATGTTCCTTCCCCTTTATGAGAAGATTGAATTTAAATATTTTTTTCTTGTTGTTATTCCTTCGTTTAGCAGATCATTCTCTTTCTAAACAATCGGTACTTTTCCTTTATTTTCACAATCACTATTCCGCGTTCCAATATTTTTGGCAGATTGAATGCTTTTTAATTTCGAATCAGAATTTTGTAAATTTTTTTTCATTTTTCTTTTTTAGATGGTATTCTTTATTATCCTTTTTAATCTTTTCTTTATTAATTTGATAATACTTTGTTTATAATTTTTGTATTTTTCTTTATTATTTAAATAATAATTTTTTGCTTTCTCATTTATCTTATTTTTATTAATCGCATAATATTTTCTAGTTTTTTCTTTCAGCTTTTCTTTATTATTCAGGTAATAGTTTTTCTTTTTTTCTCGTAAACTTGAAGATTGACTTTGAAGATTGACCGCGATTCAGCCCCATCATTCAATATTTTAGTTATATCTTTTGAGGTTTCCTCAACTCTTTTTACATCGTTTAGATTATTATCTTTAACAGAATTAATTAAACTCCATAATATCGAATTGAAAATTAAAAGAGTTAAAACTTTAATAAGTTTCATTCTGAAATAATTTTAAGAATTAAAAAATTTAATTTTAATGTAATATTAAATTTTTCAGCGTTATAAAGGTTAATAAGGCTAATGAAATCTAATGAAATCCTTACTCTGTCTA